TATTCCATGAACCAAAAATACAAGATCGCGACTTCTTCTTAGTAGCCCGTTATAATCGCATTTAGGAAAAAAGTTGGGCGACTTTGACATTAGCCGTTTATTTACATTTGGTCGTTGTTTACAATTTGGTGGTGGCTTTTTACTGCAATTTTCTAAATTTAATAATTTAACAGAACGGCATGATTTATAGAAGAATTTGCATAATAATAATGATTATTCATGCGTTCAACAATTACGCGTTTTTTTTTTGTTCTCTTCGTTGTTTACTTCTTACAACAAAGATGGCGTCGAGATTTCAACAGCTAGAAAATAACCTTTTTCTTTCTTTCCTTAAGGCGTCATCTTGTGTCTTTCGTTCATGGCATATTCAATAAGGTAGAAGTGACAACTGGCTCCAACTCTCTCGTAGTTAGTTATAATGTCAAAAAACTGTAAACAAACAAATTATCCCTTTGAGGTGCGAGTGCTATGTTTGCTACAAATTAGCATCAGTATAAATGCAAACATATGTATGTATACAAATTTTAAGAATTACTTCAATATCATCTTCAAAGAATTTTAATTGCATTCGCATCTTACATGTACATATTCATATAGACAGAAACGAATACCTGATAAAGGAAGCCACGAAAAAAAAAATTAAAGAAACTTTTTATGAAATTGTTTTAAGTATTTTTTATTTTTATTCGCCCAATGTTTTTGAGCGTTTAGTTTCCTACTTAAATATTTAATTCTAAAAATCATCCGGCACTTATAAAAAAAATAATATAATGTTTTCTTCTACGTGCGTATGTATGTATATTAGTGTAAATCTAGGTCCTGACGTGTTTATGTGAGCATAATTTTGTAAGAAAATACCCATTTCTTGCAGGCTTGCTCAGTTTGCGTCTGGGCATCAACAGATGATATCGTCACTTCTGAACTTTCGTGTGCTTCAGGTATTTCAGGCACAGGAACCTCCCAGGGCATGGGAACTGCACCTGAGTATAAACGCCTGCGCTTAAAAATATTTACCTGCAATGCGCAAGTAGCAAAATTACTCGCGCTGAAATGATTTTCGCAGACACGGTAAATTTGATGCGCACTTCAGTGTTGCCGAAGGGCCGAAATTTCTATACTAAAATTTATGATAAAATAATCAAAAAGATTAAAAAAATAATACGCGAATAAAATTAATGAATTTCTTCCACTAACTGTATTGATTTAAGTTTTCTCCTAATTTTTGGCATTTTTAATTGTATTTTAACCAAGAGTGATAGAGACAAGATGGCGGGATGTTATGGAAAATACTACGAAACAAAAATTGCTTCACAAAATCCTGGTTGACCTATCAAACAGTCACTTTACGCACCTATTTACACCTTTCCACAAAGCATGATTTAATAATTAAAGGTTTGCTGATTATTGACATTAAGTTTCGGCACTCCCTTAGCTCCCTTACAAAAGCTTTGCACACACACACGAACCAACACACAGTGTCTTGCTAAGGGAGACGATTTTGTCAAGAGGGAGCGAGAAAACTGCTTTTTGAGCAACCCTTTTATTATTGAATCATGTCCACAAAGGGGTGTTCCAATAAAAGCCCAGTAAACTTACAAGTTTTACACGGCTTAAGACTTTACGACTTTAACGGAATCCCCTAAATATGTATATTTCATCAAAGACTATCGATAGTGGCCAACGACCATTCGATATTGCAAAAAAAAGGAACCATTCGAAGGTATCCATAGTACCATGGATAGTTTTTCAGCTCTAGTATTTATAAAATTTAGTACTTGCCGATTTGTTATATCCACACACAGGCCCACACACACAGCGTTGCCAGGTTGACGTTTTTAACGTCATTTGGACGTTTTTTGTATCCTGTTGACGTTTGGACGTTTTTCGTGTAAAGAATTGCGTTTTTTAACTTCCCTGTAATTTTTCTCTATGCACAATATATTCAATGTATAGCGTACTATTTGCTTGTAGAGTAAGTACTTACGCTCACACTTTCGGCAAATTTGTAGTAGAACTGATTTTGAATTATTTTCTTAATAAATCTTTACAAGCTTTGTTTTTTGCAGCAGGTGCCTCAAAATATTATTATTCCTGGACTAAGGATCCCGCGTTCAAAGGTTGGTTGTGTTAACACTTGAGGTTAAGAGGCTTATTGCAATGTTTGCAATTGCATATTAAAAGCTGCAGTAGCACAAAAAGTCAGAAAAATGTAGGCGACTTTTTAAGACTTCATTGAAAATGTAATGAACGCAAAACCGGCTGAAATATTGCTATGTTCCTTCTTGACAGAACGTAACTTAGCATCTTCTACAACAAGAAAAAAAATTATTAAAAATTAACGCCATTCTTTAGCAACTTAAAACTTACACATTATTACCCTGAAATTTAATGCGCTATCAAACTGCATATACAAAGAATTCTAAAAAAACTGAATAAAAAGTTGAAATTCTAGCTGAAATTTTCCAGATTTTTCATAATTTTTGCACAAAGTTTGAAATGTGGATTTATATTGTGTTTGTTATATAATGTGCTAGGCTTTTATGGAAAAATAATAAACATTAAATAAACAAAAGAAAAGCATCCAACATCGATCAAAATGTTGATGGCTTAATCAGCTGATCACAATGTATGTATAAAATGATTTTTATATTAACGATCTCAAAACAGTTTACAAATTGTTGTCAACAGTTGCTGCTTGAGCTCATCTGCTCTTTTGTCAGAGTACCAGGCCACTTGCTCACTTTGTGAATACCACTAATGAATTTTAAATGTGCTCTCTCGAAATGACATTTTAATATACCTTAGGTACATATGTATCTTTGTATACAATAAAAGTTTAATAAGAACAATTCTGTGTGCATACATGGAAAAGGCGTTTTTGGGTAGGAAATGACGTTTTTTCAGACCAAGAGGGACGTTTTCTCATGCCGAAGACCTGGAAACACTGCACACACACACAAAGTTCTACGAGGTGCAATCCCAAGTGATGACGAATGTAATCTGAAAAAAAACCTAAAATTTACATTAGGTTTGTATAGTAACTTCTCCAGTAAAACATTGCAGCGAGAACGTAGAAGCAAAATAGAGCGTAAAATTGAGAAGAAGAGAAAACTAGCAGAAAAAGTTACTGAACGCAAAACTAGTTAAAACTTGCAAGTGAATAGTTGTTGCACCCTTTTGATATTCTGCTGTAAACATTTTACTATTTATAAATCAGTTTTAAACTCTTTGCTTTAAGCTCGTCGGCGATTTCAAGCATCCGTTGTTGGTTACCCCAGCAACGAGTACATGTGTGAGTGTCGGGTTGAATGTCGGGTGCTTGAAGCTTGCCCGGCGACACTCAAGCATAAAGCGTCAACACCATTTGCAATAAAATTTCGTAGTGGGCGGACGTAAACATGTCTTCATCGGATGACGATTTTTTGCTACTTGCCACTGCAGTAGTTTTATTAGAAAAAAAGAAAGACTAAAAAGAAAAAGTTGTGGATGAAAAGTTTATATACAAAACGTCAACCGCAAACGCAAACGTAAAATCTTTATCTTCCGCGAACTTGCTCATTTTACATATCACAACAAACTAACACACTAATGCTTGTCAACGCTTTGCGCCACTATCAAACAGACAGCTTGTCAAGCGGTCGCGTTGATGGAAAATCAAAAATGTTTGATTTTCCATCAACACGAGCCGACAACAAGTACGTGTGACACGACGATCTCCGATTGCCTCGGTTGCTGGGGTAACCAACAACGGATGCTTGAAATCGCCGACGAGCTTTACACACAAGCTTTTACACAGTCTAGTACATCATTAATATTTTGATTTCCACTCATTTCACTTTTGTTTGTGCTAAACCAATTCAACAAATGGCGGCTTTTGACATTTATTCTTCTTCTTCTTCTGCTAACTAATTTCTGCTAGTAAAAATTTTACTAGCAAAAATTGCAGCTCTCCCGTGTTGTTACGCTCTCAATTCAGTGCTCTCTGGCAAATTTTTTGGGTTATCATCAGGCATGGGCAGATAACGAGCACACGCTCAAAGAGCGTAAACATCGCGTGTACGCAACTGACTATTGGTTACTATACAAACCTATTAGGAGTGTTCCTTATCTCCCAGAAATAGTCAGAAAAAGTCCGAAGTAGTCAGATTTAGTCCAAAAAGCGTTCCTTAACTCGGAAATTACAGCAAAAATGAGAGAGCAACACTCAGGGACAGTCCGAAGTAGTCAGACTTAGTCAGAAGAATTTTTTCTGGCAAAATCTTGAAAAGTGTCAGACTCAACTGAATTTAAATTAACGGAAATTAAAGAATACGCAAAAAGTGAGAATAATCTAAAAAGTGAATTGGAATTGGGAGGCAAAAAATAATCGATATAATAAGGTCGGTGTTATGCAGAACTTTTGTTTGGCAAACTGCGTGCAATTGTTGTTGCAGCAAACTCGGAGAGAGCGAGTTTGGCGAACCTCTCACAGCAAACTAATTTTGTTTGGTCAAACTGCAGCAAATTCGGTGTTGTCATATACAAAAATTTTAAATTTTGCGCGTTATGTACATCTGAAATTCTCATTTCGTGTTGGCAATAGCCAAGAAAACCATAATGAACGTGCAACCCTGTGCCAAACTCGACATAACCACCTCCGAGCAAACTAAGCAGCCGCCATTTAATTTGGCAAACAAAAGTTTGTCTGCATAACACCGACCTTAGTGTTTATTGCGCTTGTGCTTGTGTGAATGTGTTTTGTACTACATTTCCATTCTTATTTGACGTTAGTTTTGTTGTTGCCATTCTTTGGACTAAAAATGTGGTTTCTTGCGTTCCTTTACTTTTCCTGTTATTCTCTTTTAGTGCGCGCATTTTCCTTACGCTCAGGCATTTTGACACTTTTCAGATTTTAGTCCAAAAAGATAAGGAATGAACCTATTATTTTCACTACTGCGTGTGTAGGGCCTTTAATCCGGGTAAAGGTCATCTTTGACATCTTTCGTCAAGTGCTCCGATTCGAAGCCTATTGCTTGCTGGGTGCAATGTGACAATCAAGTTGAAAAGGAAGCAAGAATTAAGAAGACAGCAGAATTAGTTTGAATTTACATAATATTCCGACATCTTCTAGTTAAAAGCAAAAAACAAGGAAAATTGTTTTATTTCATTTCGCTCCCAGCCATCGCAACATATTCCGGTCGAATTCAAAATTGCAACTTTCAGATTTTCAACGATATAGAGAAATCGAAATTCCCTTTTAAGTGCAAAGAAAAAGACAAAAAAGTTAAAAAAAAAAACGAGAGCAAGAGGACGGCAAAAATTACAAATGTTGAAAAGAAAACTTTTGTAGAAAGAGAAGTGCGTAAGTGAAGTGCAAAATAATCGAGAAATAACTAGACGAGGAATAATAGAACAGCCACAATAAAATCAAAAACTTAATTTTAGAAAAGGAGAATTGTGAAAGAAAAAACCAAATCGCCCAAAACATATTTCGATTCTCCAATAGCGAAAAAGAAAGCAGAAGCTAAAACACAGAAACAAAATCTTAAGCCAGCGAAGCTGCTGGTGATCACTGAAGAAACAAAAAAAAAAAAACAACCAAACAACCAACGCGGCAGAGATTTGCTACCAAAGGTAGAAAAGAAGTGAAGGAGAACCAGCTTAACGAAGAAGCAACAGTGGTCGTGGTGGAAATGCTGGAGCAGAGCACTCCCACAGCAGCGGACCACTTTAGACAGCATTACCAAATATTTTGCTAAATTTTGTTACCCACGACTAGACCAACCTAAAAAAAATAGCAAAAAACCTCACGGTTTTGCTACGATCCCAAATTAGATTACATGCAAAGGCAGTGCATTTAATTAATACGAAAATTGTTTTTTTGTTTTTGGTATCGGCGTTTGGAAGTAGCATGAGCGTAGCGTGCAAACAACTGCACTGAGTCAAACAGGTGAGTAAAAAATGGCACTTTTAAAGAAAAACACATGTTAATGTCGAAAATAGGGATTGGAAATTTGCCAGCAATGCAATAGTAAAGCTAAGCATATTCAAAAAATGCGTCTATTAGTTTATATCAACTTGTATATTTTTCCATGTAGTTACGCTATCTTTTAATTTTTCGCTATATCACGCAGAATTTAATTGGAACTGCATCAGAATTAGTCAAACATTTGTTGCCACCAGCGCCATTACAGTCTCATCTGCCACACTGTTATCATTGGTCAACGAAAAAGTTGGTGTACATCGCTTCCCGCAAACACCGCCATCGGCAACTGTATCAGTATCAGCATCGTTGCTCTTAAACAAATCATCAACAACAACAACCGTCGCACGCACCTGGCGGACATATCCGCAAACGTTTACCAAGGCATTACGCACTACAACTCGACGCTCTGTGGCACCGCCATCCAAACGTGCCGCCACCGCTGCTGCTGCGAAAGCTGCAGCTAACAATACTGCAGCCACCATGGCTTGGACAGAGGTGAGTACTATGATTAAATGAATTGTGTGCTAACGACAGCTATGGTCAGAGATTTTGCACCAAAATTAAAAATGATATTGTTTGTAACTTATGTTTATTTATTTATTTTTAATAATATTCATTTAAAATATAATTCAATCTGTTACCGAAACCACATAACTGAAAGTTGCAAAACTTGCGCTAATTTCAAAAAAATTACTAAAATTTCTAAAAATTGTCATCAAAATTTTAAAATTTTTTAGCTAATTTTCGGGTATGCAGTTTTGCAGCCGATTCAATTTTAGTCTAATAAAGTGCAAATTTCAAGTCGCTAAAAAGTACCGTTGATTTTTTAAAACTTCTTGTGGAGGGTGCTTTTTCATTTTCTTCCATATAAAAATAGATTTTTATAATTTTTGGTGCTAAATCATTAACCATATCTGTATGTATTTATTCATATCTTTAGCTTGAATCAGTGTTAAGGTAGAAAATATTTAAATCTATGGGATTTACAGAAATTTGTAACATAGATAATTATGGATGTGAATACTAGAAGCAATTGGAATTAGAAAAAATCTATAAAGCAGTTAAATTTTTATTTTTTGATTTTTTTTTTAATTGTATGTATTAAGGAAAATCTAGAAAATGTCTATAATCATATTTGCATAGTAGAAAGAAAGATTCTTGTAGTGTCGATACGAAATGTAAATAGAAAATACCCAATTTTTGTTTGTTCAAAGATCGTTAAATAAACATTTCCACACCCAAAGAGATAGTATATAAGGCGCATATGAATAAAAATATTGTGTAATTCGAATAGCCGATTAATGTGTGAGTCAAATGCTTATCATATCAAGTAATTTTATCAATACGCTTGAGTTGAATTAGAAAAAAAATGCCAGTAATTAGTTGATTCCGCAGCCTTTACAAGGTTGAATGGTGTTTTGCTGGGAACTTAATAAAATTAAACGTAAAATTTTCTTATAAGATGCACATCAAAGAAGTTTGGTTTTCATTTAACTCCAATTCAAAGAGCAAGGTAACTGAAATTAAAAGCAATTATAGAACTAATGATGTGTATTTGATAGAGCCTCTGCCTAACTGAAGTTGAGTAATAGTCATACAACTTTTATTATGTCTACCTTTTGTGAATGCATGTGTATTACGCTTCTTTAATTTCTTTTTCGGTTCTCATTGAATTTCGGTCAATGAAATTTTGGAAAAATAAACAATTCCGCTGGTGGTCCAACCCATAATTGTGTTGCAATAATTGCAGTTACTTTTCCGGCACAGCTGCGTGCTTGAGTGTCTACCCACGAAGAAAAAAATATCTAAATTGAAACACACGCTGGTTCGCACTGAAATACTAAGTGTCACGTAGTAGTTTTACTAGCTGAGAGTGATCGCTTGCCAAAGTCTTGCTCGTGCTTTAGATTCACAAGCAGCGCGGAGTTCGGAAGCAGGCGCATTTACTTTCTTATGTTCTCTATTCTAGTCCTCGTTTCATTGTCTATACCGTCAGGTTAAGCTTGCGCAAACCATCACCGCACTCGGAGCGCTTTACGCTAATGCGCCACCTGTTGTTGGAGCGCGCTTCCTATGCTAGACACAATTTTACTTATGATAATGCAAGTCGTAGTCATACTTATAGTATATGAAATATTTAAAAATGGTGTTTACATACATACTTAAATGTCTATGAAATTTCGCAAATTCCAATACTCGCATAATAGCTTATTAATTATTCAGATTTGAAGCACACTTAATGTATATTAGTTAAACGAGTAAAGTGGGAGCTAATTTATTTTTCTATAGAAGAATTAACAGGTTTTCAGCTGTTTAACGCTTCATGCTGACCATCGCAAGAAGTTTTGAACATTATAACTTATATAATGGGAACAGCGCGAGGGATTGAAAGCTAGATCTCAGATCGAAATGTCTAAACCTGCAGGTTTCATAAAAACTTGTTATTAAAAGAACAATAGAAACGAGTTAAATATGGAAAATAGAAGGAAGAAGTTTCTTTATACAAAAAATATAAAACTTATTCAGCGAGAAAGCTAAACCAATAATCCTTTGTTGGGAGCATTGTATGAATTTCATGAATAATAGGTGGATTGGAACACAGAACCGGCTGCGGTGGAAAAGCACCCCCAGCCAACAGAGGAAGTTTCCCTGATTGCATCTATGTTTTTGAAAGTAAACCTTTTTTTTCTGACTTATATGTGCATATCTGTGGTCATAAGCAAAAAACGCCTAATTCGACTTAAGAAATAATTGAGTTATATTATACTGTAACTACTATTCCATGCGAATGTCAAATCGCCATCTAGCTAGCGGCCAGGCTATTTAAAAAGGTTATTAACGAAAATATTTGGTTTCCCTATAAGGCTTACATTACAATCCACATGTTTAAAACTTTTTTTTTTTTTTTCAAATTAAGGTCTTTCGACTTAAGCGGCTATTGCTTATGACCACAGATACGTATCCAAGGAACGATCCCGATTTATATCTGGCCAAGGACTGTCACTTCAACATCACTACCCAAAACTCCGAGGAATTGGTATGCTGTTGCAACAACAACAAAGGTTACAGTTCCCCATAGACACCCAAGTAACTCTAACGCTATTACAGCCTAAGTACTGTAACATATTGAACTGTTACTTTTACCGACACAAGCCCGAGCCCTCGAGCTTGTAAAATAGCTCCGCACGAAACTAATATCTTCATCACACATTAGGTCTGTTCGTCAAGCAACAAATTTGTACGAATTATCATGATTTTTATTCAAATCGCGTTCGTGCAGTGCAAAAAATTATCCATCACTCAAAAATTGAGAGCGTAAAGTGACAGTTCTCTTGGAGAGGAAAAATTCTTCCCACCAAAAACTCGCAATCTAGTAAACATATTATTGTGTGCCACATGATTGCATTTTTGTCGATGAAATTTTTTTTTTAAAAAGTTCATTAAATTTAAAAATCTATAAACTTGAGCATTTTTCTAATGAAAAAATTTAAGTAAATACTTGTTACTTAATTAATTCAGGTGATTCCAATGATTTGAAAGGTACACGGCTGAAAAAAAATGTAATCGGAACGCAATCACAACCAGAGTCGATTTAGGAAACCCGACAGATACTACGATAAGGAAATTGAAATATTTGCTTAAGTCAGAATAACATGAAATATACATGGTTTTTGTTCATCTGAAATAATTTAAAAAATACAAACATTTATTATGTTTGAAATGCAACCGTAGACCCCTACTGGCTGTGAAACTTGCAAATTCCTACAAATTTACGTTCGCGCAACTTTCTCTACTCGAGAGAAAATTTTAGAGAATTTTTATTACTCAGATATTTTGAGGAATGGATAGTTCCTGTGGGATTTTCGACGAAGGAACCTTTTTAATCGCACTTAGTTTCCTCTTTTTAAGTAACTCCATCTATGTCAAGTTAATCAGAACGACGCAGATTCATATCTGGCCAAGGACTGCCATTGGCATCATTCCCCCGAAATCTTTTGGGGAATTTGTATGATGCTACTACAACAACAGCCCGCTAAAATAACAGGGATTTGAGAAACTCGGCTTCTTATGGAAACCGGAAGTTCTGTGACTCAGCTCAGATCGGGATGGTGCAGTCTATTAAGCAGTCATCTCACATCTAAATTTGGCAAACACCTGCCCAGAATTCAGAGCGTTTTTTCATATTCCTTTCCAGAGACCCAAAATAATTATTATCCTAACATTTGGGATCAAAAAACGTCGCTTTGTTTTAAGAGACATTTTTTTTGGTCTTTGTATAATAATTATTTACGAGAAACATCTTTTTTCGTCTCGCGGGACGATTATTTTCAAATGGAAATTATTTACGTCTTTTCATAATAATTATCGGGGATTTTTTTTTCGTCTCGCGAGACGTTTATTTCAAGACCAAAATGATTTGCGTCTTCTCTTCATAATTATATGGGATTTTATTGAAATGAAACTTCTTAATTGAGTTCGGAGATTTGACGCGTTAAACATTCAACGCCATGATTCTTCATGTCATCAAATCTGTATCCAAGGCGAATTAATATAAGGTGATAGCAGGAGTACAAAAACAAAAATTTACATGTATTTTGTTTTTGCTTTGGCGGCATAAACTGTCAAAATCTGTAGGAGTGTGTGTAGAAATTCAAACAAAATTTTTCAATTTGATATCAGAAGCCGTGCGGCGAAACACATACACAAAAGTTGCGATCCCGTACGAATCCGGACTAGTCAGAATCAGTCAGATTTTACTGGAAATCGATCCCGTACTCGGTTCTCTGACTATTGAGAGGAGAAAAAAGAGAGTAAATACCGTTCTCTCTCTGTCAGAAGTTACCAGTTTTAGTCCGAGAATTTTTTGCTGGTAAATTCTGGTAAATGTGTCAAACGATCAGCTTTAGTGTGTTTGGCAACCAAATTGTAAACAAAAGAAAAGTGCACTCTGCTAATTCATGTTGAAAAGTATTTAATTACTTGTTTAAGTGGATTCTAATGAATTTGAAAGTATTTTTGGTTATTTACATGTGCGAGCTGAATGTGTTTACATACAAAATAAGCAAAAATTTACAACCAAAATTTGGAGGTTATGTTGAAGTTGACAGAAGTTACCATTTTTTACTAGAAAGCGATCCCGTACTTTTCAATGTTACTCTCTCGCTCTGAGCGAATTTTTATTTTTTGACAGTTTTACTAGTCCGAGTCCGAGGAATACGGGATTGCACCTAAAATCAGCTGAGCTAGTAACACCACCTTATATAAATTCGCCTTGGTAAATTCATTCTCTCGATTCGTCGGCCATGATTTTTTGCTGACGTTTGCCAACATTTTAAAATCATATAAAATTGAAAATTAATTTAATTAAAATAAAAGGAGATAAAAAGTTTTTAGGAGAAGATGAAAAAGTTTTTAGTCTAACGATTTTCGTCTCAGGTGACGAAAACAACTTTTCCATTGTTCAATAATAATAATTCAATAATCTTATTTCTTATAATTGTTATGGTCTCTGTTCCCTTCCAACCCGAAGACCCAACCAACTGAATCCCGCTTGACTTTACCAAAAGAGATCGCCCGGTTCTTCGCTCACAGACTTCACGAGACGGAAGATAAATGGGTTGGAAGCTGACTATATCTGATTAGAGATTTATGACTTCTGCTGCTAAAAAAAAAAACAGCAAGTACTTTCTGAAAACGCATCTGGCATACCATCGATACCATTATCAAGTAATAAGCGAACTGCTTTGCTGAAAAAATTAGTTATAAGTCTTAAGTCCGTCCAAAACTCTCTTTTTTACTGTCGACATTATGAACGATTTTATTTTAGTTACTATTAGTGAGCTTCTTTTCTTGAAGGAAGTTTTTCAACCTAAAACGTGATTAGCATTGCAATTGAGTGTCTCATTGCAGCAAAATAGGGGAAGGGTGACTAAAAAGTCTTCCGCAATGCATAAAAAAACACACGCGCATGCACACATGCAGTCTCACACATAAAGGTATGTTTGGCAGATGAATCAACGCGCTTCCTCAGTTTGATTGCTGCTCTCGAAGTTGGTCCAAAAAATGTATTACATTACACAAAAGCAACAACAATGGCACACAAAAGAAAACTGCCAAGCCTTCAACTTCAAAATTTTGTCATTACTCAAAGCCTGGTTTAGGGAGAGAAAGAGAGGGAGAGAGAGAGAGAGAGAGCGAACGCGAGATTTCGTTGCAATTGAGCCAGATAATTATATTTTCACTACCGTTTTGAAGTCAACATCAGCAAACGCTTACTATAGATTCAAACACTTGCCGACACACATACGAAAGTGTTTTGATGTGCATGCATCCCAATAAACATTGGGCTTGGTTAGCAATTCGATAACGAATGTGCAATAGGTTAGTATTCGATACGAGAACTAGGCCATTCTCCAGCAAAACGGAACCTTCGTTATCCAATGTATTTTCCCCTTCGTTATGAATTCGAAATCCAGCCCATTATCGAATTGAAATTTTATTTTGAGAGAGTGATTGCCTTATATTTCCCTTCGAGAATGAGCTGGATTTCACTTTCTCTTATTACTATGGTCTTCATTTTTTCGAACCGATTTCGGGTGTATTTCCAATTTACTCTGAACGTTGAAAAACTAAGGTCGGTTATGAGTTCGTTCTCAGTGCGATATTCATATTGGATATCTAAGTTCTTTTTCGAACGTTCGCCACAATGTTTATTGGGATAGTATGTGTATGTAGCTGGTGCAGTGTTGCCACGGACAAATTTTTTTTCCTACCAAAACCCACCAAAACCTACCAACAATTTTTTAAGTTTTTCTTTTTTTTTCAATGCACACTCAAGCCTTGATGCCATTTCACAATAGTCTAAGTGCTTTAACGCTGACCATCCGACGTAATATTTATTCTGGCCACATTTGCTCTTCTTCATGAAGACATTTGCGAACACGAGCTACGATTGCGAAGACTTCTGCCTTGAATATTGTTGGCTATGTGCCCATTGGCAGACTTTCTTGGAATCTTGGTCCAAGTACGCCTGCCACAGTACTCCCGTCGTCCATCTTCGATCTGTCGGTATACCACCACGCCAGTGCCGCATACTACCGTATTGAAAGACCTATACGTTAGCTTGGGTGATATTCCCCAAATCTTACCTTGAAGTTTCCGACAGGTATAAAACGCACTTGTAGTTGGTAACATTCGAGAGATGTGAAGTTCAATTGAGCCATTTGTCCATAGATATCCCTAGACTCAATTTCTGTCCCTACCGAGGTGGGTCTAATGAAGTTGACTTTCCTTCTTTGGGTAAATGGAACAATGGTGGTCTTCAGTGGGTTTATTGACACGCTCAGTTCAATTTAAATTAACTTATAGGCATATCAAGCACAATAAGCAACAGGGTTGCTAAAATGTTTGGAGATACATATTTTCTATTTTTCACATAATTATTTTTATTGTGGAACCTATCAAAATCCAATCTATGCTACCAACCTACCAAATGGAAATAAACCTACCAGTTTTGGTAGAAGAAGCCCATCTGTGGCAACACTGAGCTGGTGTTAACAACACTTCTGTCGGCTCACTCTCTTTTGGCTTTGTTGTTTTTGTGATGGGGCTTACAGTTGTTACCACTGGTAGCTGGTGGCGGTGCTGCTGCTGCCATTGCGGTGGCTTTTCCTATTGCTGCTTATCGCGTTGTAAACGTATTGTTGGCGGTGCTGCTAACAGTACTACGTACATTAAAATTGTACACAGTGAACATTAGCCAAGAGTGGCGGCAGCAGTACCACCACTACCAATGGCTAGCCGACAAACCGGCCGTCCGACCAAGTTAACACTGGATTTTGTCGTACGTTCTCGCAATCAACCACCATTGCGCCGCCGTCAATGGGTTTCAGTTTATTTTTGTTGGCTCATCGCTTTGGTTGTCTCTCTTGTCTGGCAGCGGCGGGTATCTACAAAACAACGAGAACGACTACAAACTACTACGGCGATCCATCCACTAGAGTGCTCGATCTTGCCTACAACGCGGTGTTACCCTAGCCTGTTGCTTCTTGGCTTAGTTAGTCGCTCTATGCGCTTCGTGTAAACTCAATTGGTTGATCGCGCATTGTGCTCCTGCCGGGTTTTAGAAAATAATTCAAAGTGTTTTGATTACGAATTCTTTTGGCGTTCATATTCTATTTCACATAGATACTTACATCCATACATATATGTGCATGCATACATACATACATATGTATATATATAGTAGTGTTCATTGTATGTACATACTAGTATTTTTTTAAAAATTTATTTTCGCCGTTGATTTTCCATTTGGCCCAACACCTCGCCTCGTTTGGATCGACGGCGATTGTCTAAGCGCAATATTCCCGTTTGTGTTTTTAGACGAAGTAATTTTAAACGCGTGTGTTTAGTTGTATGTGAGTTTGTTGGTGTTGTTGATGTGCCTCAGAGCTTAGTTTAGTTTAGTTCAACTAAGTTATGCTGAGCTCAGCTTTTCTATTGCGTTTTTGTATTTTGTCATTTAACTTTTTTCAGTCAGTACTCGTTCATACGTTCGCTAATGTCTATCGGAGCGGTACGCGCGCGCGCGGTACAAAATACGTTTAGGTATGACTTTGAACAATGCGGTGTTTAGTGCGGTATTTTCTCTAATTTTTTTTTTTTGGCATTAGTTTACGTTATTTTGTTTTTTTTTTACATATACTGCATTTTTGAAAGCGCCAAGCAAGCCAAGTTTAAAGCGCATTCCGTAGCGTCGAAAGAACGACCCAACAGGCCAACTAAGCAACCAACCAAGCAACTAACCAACCAACAAACAAACAACAAAGTGACCAAAAGTACATACAAATATCCGTGTATATAGTACACATGAACTAACAAACATATGTACATATATATATATATATTTCAATTAACTCAGCTGGCTGACCAACAAAGCCAATGAATATTACCAAGTATTGTGGACGTTGTTTGCATAAAGTGTGTCGCGCCATCATTTTGCCAAGAACCACCGTACGTGGCGGAATTATACTTTACATACGTCGAGTACAACAGTTACAAGCAATCATACATACCCAGCTTATACAAATATACCCATGCATTACCCATGATATGTGTTGTTTTGTTGTAGCAGTGGTGCGCGGTTCTGGCCGTGATTTGGTGGCACTACGGCAATGTACTGCTGACACTGCCATTACCGCTACCGCACCCTAAATTCATACAACTAAGAAACAATGAAAAAACTGCATACGGTCATACGGTACACAGTGATTTTAACCTAGACGACTATAAAATGCAAAAAATAAAATAAAAAAAGAACATAACATAACGCAAAATAACATAAAACAAAGTAATCTATGCGACTGAAAAACGCAGAAAAAGTTAAATGGTTCTAAACTAGACGAAAAAAAGCAAAAAAAAAATGAAAAAAGGAACCTAAACATACCTAAACAGAGAAATCTATGCGACTAAAAAGTGAAGAAAAAAAATTAAAAACCTAAAGCTGAGAAAAAATAAAAATAAAAAATAAAAACAAATAAAAAATAAAAAAAAAAAAATAAAGATATATATAACACATTTCGCTTAAATACGAGTAGATACTCCTTTTTTGGGCTTTGATTTTACTTTTAAATTTGCAAGGGCAGTGCACATAAATAAGTATATCAAAAAACTTAATATTGAGTTATATTGAAATAATATGGGAAGAGCGATGTTTATTCCCTTATGCTTAAAATTCAAATCTTAAGAAAAATCACAAGAAATATTTTTGATTATTTCTGTTATTGGAAAAAGTACTTTAACGTAGCAGAGAATTTTCTTGAAGAAATAAATATACGAGCATTTGTTTATTGCGAGCTGCAAACTGATTTAAAAAATTTTATTAAAAAAATATTTTCAATTGAGCGTTCTTTTGATGAATTTTTTGCCTTGAAATTTTGAATTTTTTTTTTTGTCGCAAATGCCCAGCGAATTCCAGTACTCTTCCACTTGATCTTTCCATCACAGAGGAGGGAAGTATTTGCATACCTCTGCTACCAGCAACGTGATCCGCATTGTAAATATAATTTAAGATCTGGATCATTTGTGTCCATTGGTACGACATGACCAAGCCAGCATAGCCGCTGCATTTGGATCTGCTCGTACAGCTCATGGTTCAATTGTTAATTCACTAGGGTGCAGCTTACGACTTCCAGTCTTAACACTAGGTATTCTCTAGGTAGCAACCGAACACTCTTTTAGACACAAGTTAATGTGACAAGGCAAACATTGAGTTGTGCGCTGGGCTTGGGATCCGCCACGTAAAAAACGATTTGACTTGTATTTCTAGCAGAAATAAAAAGGAGCTATAGAGTACTTAGAAGAAGGACCGGCAGAGTTTACCTCTAGACATACATATCTCTACATATGTCTTCTTAAGGCTGCATCACATTCCAGAAGTACATAAATGCGATAGGAGAGAGCTGTAGGAATACCAGATACTTTCGTAAAGTCTGTTTTCGGTAGCCTGATTAGCTCTCTAGTTAAATCTCTTTTAGGTTTAGCTTCCTAAAAGGTCTGTCATAGTCCCTATGCCTTCTCCTTATATAGCCTCCTAGGGCCTATCTCTGCATTTTAAAGTACGTTTCCTTAAGGCATGGACGGGTTCTGTTTCTATTGGACAAGTAGATGTTGCGTCTTTCGAAAACCATTTCCCTGAACTAAAACAATAATACTGAGTTGTGTTTCACTAGAGTAATCTCTTTCTCAGCCCCTTCCCATACCTTACAATCAGATATTGGCAATTTAAATTAAACACCATATAAAAGTAAATACATTTATGTTAACACTTATCGGTCTTTTTAATGGCCTTTCCAAAGCAACGTTCATATATGAACCAAAAAATATTTATATAGACTGAGGATGTTTTGAAGTTCGCTAATCGCCCTAAGAGTAGCTTCAAGCAGTCGATGAAAATATCACATTCCTTGAAGATTTAGCTCCACGAGGTTTTAGTTATCATTAATATACGAATGTTAAGAGAATAGAAATTAAGAAATTAAAAAGTTAAAAAAAAAGAATTTACAAAAAAATATTGAAAGTATCTAATCGTAGAACAAAGTAAAAGAATCATCAAAAATAAACAAAAACCAAAACTATATTCTTTTAAAATTCCATTAAATTATGAAGATTTAATGACAAAGTTTGGTTGTTTATTAAAAAATAAATCATTAAGGCCATATATACAAAAAGCTTTGCCAATTCAATGCCTAGTAGGAACTCTACACATTTGTGAATAGAAAAAAAGAAATAGAAAAAATTTTAATTCAAAAATTAACAGTGAAAATTCGAGAACAAAAATTAAAATTTTTCGTATAAAAAATATATGTGACATAAAAAATGAGCAAACTGTACCAAAATTTTAATTTAAAATCCAAAAAGAGAAAATAAAGTCGCATATAAAAAAGGTTACAAGCAAAAAAAAAAATACATATGTCATACATATAATTCTACAAATACAAAAATTATATGTATTTTGTTTTTGCTTTTAGTGGGCCATTGTCAAATTTCAGCTATTCTGCCCTGAAGCAAGGAGAGGGAAACAAAATACAAATACTCTCACGTTTCACACACTCGCTTGCAAAATACAAAATTTTAACAGTCACGCACCATTCACAGCTGATAAAACAACATCATCTTATATGAATTCGCCTTGATCTCCACTTTTGATGTAACATGAAAAAACCCCGAAAAACGTAGACTTAACTTTGAATCGTAGATTTCGAATCTGGACCCGTATCGCGGCATTCGAAAGTGGGTGTAACGAGTGATCTGTATTCTGTTTTTCTAAAACAACTAATTTTCCAAAAATATTTTCATTTTTATGAAAAAAAAACAAACTTTAACAGGAAATAAATGCAGACTAAAAATGAAAATATCTGTGGAAAATGTCTTTATCTAGAATAACGATACAAAGATCCGTAATCTACGACCCAAAATTAAATTTACGTGTCTCTGCGCTTTTTTGTGTAGTTTTGGTGTTCCTACAGTGTAACAGAACTTAGAGCCACATAATTAGAATTTAAGTCAAAAATAATGAAATCGGCTGCATTAAATTATTGAAAAAAAGCGATTATTAAAAGTACTCCTCCCGAGAAAATTTAATGCAAAAATGAAATTTTTTAAATAAAAATAGCTGAGTTTTTACTTTCTGCAATTCCTAATATAATATAGTGTTCCCACTGTCTTAAGTACATATGACATTAGGGTGCCTCACCAAAAAAAAGTCCGTTTTTCCCACCGGATTTATAAAATGTTAAGACTTCTGTCAAAATATTTTGGAAATATATGGATTTACGTGAGCTGGGCCAATTTGAAAGTACAGTGACTCAAACAATTGACCACGTTCTGATTTTTTTTGTAATATTCGTAATGTTTTTCGAACTAATTTTTTAAAATTATTTTTCTATAAAAATATCGTTCAAGCTTTACCCAAAAACATATCAGTCACAGTTTCAAACTTTATATAAAATTTCGGAAAAGTCCACACATTTTAATCAAAATTTCAACTTTTTAATCTGAATCTTTAGAACATTTTTGAGTAAGCAGTTTTATAGGAATTTTTTGGGAATCTTTGTTCACATGGAATTCGGCATAAGCCCGAATAAATTTTATATTTCCGAGAGAAAAACAATACCGATTTTTTTTTTTTTGGTTTGGAGAGTGATGCACCCTAACGTATGTATGTATGCGTTCAGCCAAACAAATTTTTAATCAAGTAAATAAAAAACAAGCAAAAAAATCTTAATTAAAATTCCCGCCAGCGGGTTAAATCACTGTGTACGTTCCTTATGTCTGTGCCAATAAATGTGCGCGCTCGATACGCGGTGGAACATAGTAATGAGTAAAAAATTGTGTCTAATATTACCAAATATTTTTTACTACGTATGTATGTACATACATACAATGCAGCATATGAAAGATGACACAATAATTAAACCAAAGATAAAAAACAAATATCAATCATTTGTGTACACTGATATGTATAATGTATGTATATATAAAAATAGTACATTGCTTTCATTGATGTGCCATTGCCACTGGAACGTCGAATCGCACACTTCAGCTGCCCAAAAACAGTACAGGCAATAACATTTGTGCGCGGTGTCGTCATCATAGTCAAACAAGACGGAAAAATAAACATTTAATTCGCTGTAGTAAGATAAATACATACGGCAACATTAAAACCAACAACAACCACAGCAGCAAGTCAACTGAAATACTGTAGGAATGTGGCGCAGCACTCACGTCAACGTTGATATTACAAACAATGCCGGGAGTGGCAATGCTAATTCTGGTGCTGGTGGAGGCGGAGGCGGAGGCGGCATACAACGCAGCGCATCAACACAATTTAATTCGAATCATCATCATCATCACCAGCACCAGCAACAACAACAACCACAACAGCATACACATCAATCACATTACAACGATGGCGCAACACCTGGCAGCGGTGCAACCTCAAAGCAAATGTCCCAATTGCAGCGCGATCGTTTCGCTTCCCCGCAGGCCATACTACAAGATGCCATTGCTGAATCGAAGATAAGTTTACATGTGAATTATCGGCATAACAGCAGCAACAACAGCAACAACAACAACAGTAGCAACAGCAATAGCAACAACAAATTGGATCATCATAGCGGTGCCATATCCGTACAGCCACGCCCGCGTCCCGTCTCCATGTACGAACAGTATCGATCACGCCCATATAGCGCCGTTTTGGATTCTCCACCGCCGCCAGTAACGCCAACAGCAACATCAGCAGCCATGGCGCTTGGACGCAGTGAGAGTTTCTATTTTGGTGAGAGCGCGCAAAATGTGGCAGCAATGCGACAGCAACTGCAATTGCAACAACACAAGTCACATCAACAGCAGCAACACTACACAAAGCATGCGCAGGCGGCAGCGGCGGCGGCGGCGGCGGCGGTGGCAACTAGTGGAAAATCGTCAGCGCGTCGTGCAAATTTGCGGCAAAGCCCCAGCGAATTGGTATGCAAGAAGAGAGAAGCACTTGATGCTTCCCATTTTATGCCACACCATTGATTTCCTATTTTCTATTTTTTTCTTTTCCAATTGCATTTTTGAGCGACTCAAAAGTGTAGAAAATCGAAAACTCGAGTGCTCGTGTTGTTGTGTCGAACACCTGTTTATATGGCTAAGGCGGTGATGGTGGTGCTGGCGGCAAAATACCCGCACATTGCTCTTGTCCATTTCCTCACACGCTTTTGGCAGCTGCATGCGCTCGCCGTTTCGACCACTTAAGTGGTGGCATGTTTTGTGAGAAATATGTAGTTTTCTTTCTGGGCAATATAGCCAATAGCAATAACAGCAACACCACTGTTGGCAGTTGTTGGCACAATTTTTCATGCCATAAGTGTATTGCTGCGGAAGTAATTTTATTTTGCACCGCCGCTCGTTTGTTGGTTCTCCAATATTGGCCAACGCCAAGCACCAATACCTAATACCAATTTGTGCACCAAACTTGTGGTCTTAATAATGGATTTGCTATATTTCTCTTTTTGGCATTCAATTATTTTTACACTTTTATGTACGTATGTACATAGGCATACACATTTTTGTTTATCACGCTAGTCTTAACGGTAAAGCTTTGGATAAATAAAGTATGTAGTGATAAATAACTTCAAATTTTCAGTATATTTTATCTTTGATAACCGAATGATGTATGAGTCGCTGATAAAACGAAGGGTATTTAAAACTACATATTTAACTATTCAGTAGTTTAATTTCTTTGTTCGACGCAGGCATTCGGGGATATTAACATAAAAATATGTGTGCCGCTTTGATCGATAACCTTTTGCCACATTTGTACATATTTAACTGGTAAAACCAAAATTCCGGCGCTCTATAATTTCTAGTAGACGTGAAACACAAGCCTCTTTTGAAAAAGGCGAAATAAATTGTAGTTTGATCGACCAAGATCCCGGACTATGCGTCAAACTACCCATTCACAATCTCTAAATTTTTGCAGTCGCTAAAGATGTGTAAGGTCCAGCATAGCCGTGATGCTTGGCAGCGCTTTCCTATTGCTCAATTTGAGTCGTTTGTTTTGATCACAGTGGTCGGAGAGGGCATGTTTTATGCAAAAAAATTTATATTTGATAAGTTAGCCGGAAACAAAGCCATTCTTATTCTTATTTGACAGCTGACAAAATTTTAATTTGACATAAAATTCGTGACCATCGTGTATAAACACCTAATAAGTGACATTCAAAAAAAAAAAAAAATTTAAATTGGCAGTCCATTTGATAGCTGTCGACTCAATTTGATGTAAAATTCTGACTAGCGTGTCTTAAAACCTAAACAGTGGCAATTTAACAAATTTCTTCCTACTTTTTAGGGCAAATGACAGTTGATTTGACAGCTGTCAACTGTCAATAATCTAAGTTTCGTTATAATTTTAATTAAAATTCGTCTTTATTGTGTCTAAAAACCTAATCAGTGTCATTTTTAAAAATACTTTCTTATTTTTAGCAAAATTGACACTGGATTTGACAGCTGCCAAACTATAAATAGTATGCCATATTCGTATTTAGCATGACAAAAATACTATGATCCTAAATTTGTATTAAAATCTAAACAGTCCTTCTAATTTTTCGCGCAAAACATGACCTCTCCGACCACAGTGCGCCTGTTCAATCGCATTAGTTGTTGGCTATAGAGAATCGAATCAATCGTTTAACCAGTTTCGAGCAGTTCATTACGAGGTACATATGTACTTAGTTAGACCTTTCGAATCACACCAAACACTTAGTAGATCCTGCCTTTGGCATCAATACATACTTTGCCATAGTTTGTTAAGATTTCACGGTCTTGGAACACTATCAGTCCAATTCTGAATACTCCCTGGGAGTTTGTTCTTCGGGAATTTGTTTCTCCCGAGAAAGAAATGCTCCAATAATTAACACCGAGGGAGTAGCATTTCCCGAAAAATTTTAGAGGAGAAAATTCGAACTTCGCAGGAGCTGATTGACACTTTTTTGACAGCTCAACTCCGCCATTTAATATAAAAAATCCTCAGGGAATTTTTACTCATAATAGGAGGAAAGGGAAAATAGAGAAAACTCCCAGGGAGTTTTTGTTCAGAATCGGTCTGTATATGAACCAACTAGTTTGGAAATGATTAGTATCTCTGAGTGATGGTCAGTTTTAACAACGGAACGAAGAAGAGCAACACAATTCGCACAGTAAGGATAACTTAGGCATGAATCACCTTAACCACCACAACCTTTTTAAGGAGCTTGCTCTGCAATTTTCCCATTTCGGAAATAAAAAAGTTAAATATGGCAAAAATGGCGCCTGAATTTCTATTTTCAAAGCAAAATTAACTTTTGACTGAGTAAAAAAATCAACTACATACTTTTAAAGAAAATATCCTACCCACTAAACACAACGAATTCGCCTCGAACTCGAGACGAGCTCATTCTCTCTGATAGAACTATAGAGACGATACTTCGCGGCGATAGATCGGCGAATTCGAATTCGTAGGAGAGTCGCCTATCGTTAGCGAATCGAGTATTACTAGTTTTTCGAATCATTGGCGATTCGAGAAATTTTTTTTCTTCGAATTGCTGGCGTCTCGAGAATATTTAATTTTTCTAATCGTTGGAGATTCTATATTTTAATTTTTCGAATCGTTGGAGATTCTATAATTTTTTTTTCGAATCGTTGGCGTCACGAGAATTATTGATTTTTCCATTCAAGATTTCAGCTCGCTGGTAGTTTGAGATTGTAATTTTTTCGACAAAAGTTTTATAAAAAATGTTCGAAATTATGAGTTATTAATCAGTTTATTATAAATGTAAATCCGTATTTAATTTTTAACAACATGAATAAGCAGTAATCTTTGTTATACTTATTAGATTAGTTCGGCACCGTGTTTCTTGTAATTCGATTAACTTTTTCTTTAGTCGATCGGCGCTATATTGGTAGAATTTCTTGGATGACTTCATCCACTAAATTTATCTAAATATCTATCTTTGAATGTTAATTGAAATGCAGCTGAAATATTTATTCCATAAACTTAAATAAACAATAGCGTTTAAGAATACAAAAAAAAAAAAATCTTTCGAGAAAACTGATTTACTCGAGCTCGCCTCCAATTCGAAACTAGCCCAGAAAATATATTCGAGAAATTTATTTTCTCGAGTTCGTCTCGAATTCGATACGTTGCCACGCTCGTTTTTGTGTTTATTGGGTAGAGACCCTCCACCTTCTGATATGCTCATCCGACTACTTTCTAGACTTCAGTTTGAATCGAACCCGCGAGATGTTGTGATCTCCTAAATAACAAATAAATTAGTTAATGTTTAATAAACAAAACGACAGATTAAACCCAGATGCTTTGTACTGATGAGCAAAAGACTTTTTTCTGTTAGACCATGGGCCTAATGTCATGCTAATGTTTTGTAACAATCGATCAAGTAATGTCGTCGAGATCTTCGATGTTGGGGTCTTATTACTCCCTTCAGGTACTCATATCATCTGCCCACAGAGCACGCTTTAAGCAGTGAACAAACCAAATCCGTCATTGTGTAGACACAGAAAACTCCACCACCACGTAACACTTAAAGCCATATGGACTGCGAATGATTTGAGTGTTCGTCAGTCATCGGTAATGTTTCAAAATTAAGCGTTTCCAAGGTTTCATCCCCTTCTGCACTGCAAGAAACGTTATGTATTTTTACATTCTGGCAGCGGTAAATCAGGCTCGATGTAAATAACCTGTAAATTTTAGGAATAAGGTCATCTGCGTCTCTAGAAACAAAGTAAAAAAAAGGTTAAACAATTGTTCGAACGCCACACTGTCAGGCCCTTATGCCCGCGGCATATGCTCAGCAAAAAGTTTCCGCTTTGAGTCTACTGCGGCGGCCATCAAAATAGAAACTTACCGGAGGTTGAGTACAGTCCCTAGAAGCCATAAAAAACATTTATTGGTGCTGGTTTACGATACTACGACTATAGATAGGCAAGAATTATTTCCTTGCAATAATGCTTTACGAAAGTATTTAATGAGCTCGTGAACCTAGGCAGCTGTTACAGAAAGAAACGAAGTAAAGAGATATTGATGTGTAGATAAATTCATAGTAAGTAGGCCAAGGTAACGTGAACCTCAAGATACTGCATGCTCTTCAATTACTAGATTTGATCCCAACAAGGGTCAAAACGACGCACATCACATGGGTAGGCAATACTGGGTTAAAATGTTCCACAAAATAATGCGCCATTAAATTGTACTACAGACCCTAAAAGATCAGATTAATTGTAAATGTATGGTGTTTTCGTTTCTTTTCGTATTCGATTCAAAAATAAAGGCAAAAAAAAAGTCACATTCTCTGTCCTTTGAGGACGGGCATGATGAGAGATATGTACAGCGTGATTTTTGTTCGTCGAGAGAGGGCTCTGCTTTTTAATTACCTACCGAGCTAAAAGGAGCACCTGTTGGCCAGAGTTAGTCTTCGCTTTATCTCCAGACTGACATTATTGGTGGTGTTTATGCTGGGTCCTGGGTAAACAAAGTCCTTTACTACTTCAAAGCTATGACTGCCAACAATGACGCGGTGTCGCAATACGCGAAGACTGTTTGTGTGTTGAAAATCAAATGGTTGATTAAAACAACAATATTCCGAAATGCTGCCACCTATCCTTAGCTATTGAGGATAAAAACAGTCAAAATGTGCCAAATATAAAGGTGCAACTGCAAAGTGCCAAATTGAAAAATTAAGAGCCAGTTGATGTAAAAATAGGGCCAAAAATGGCACAGTTTGGGCCAAGTTGGCAGCCCTGGGTGGAAGGGCAACATTTTTTTGGAAGAAAAGAAATTACCATTAGTTTCATACGAGATTTTTCAAATAATTTAGTTCTACTGCAGACCGAATTAGGAAAACTTCAATACACTGTAAACAAATTGTGAGGTTTAGGGACAAAACGACAGGTGTTTTTCTATATTATAGAGCTCTGAAATCTGAAAAAAAAACTATAATAACATGAACGAAAATATAAAAATCACAAAAAAACACGAAATTTCTTAATAAAAAAAATAAAATAACGATTTTATCGAAAAAATCAGGACCATAATTTCAAGAATAATCGTTATTTTTGGATTTTTATTTTTTTAGGTAATTTTTTTATCGTTATTTTTAATTTTTATTTTTTTCGGTAATCAAACCGCTATTTTCGGGTTAAATTTTTTACAATGTAAAATGTACATTACTAGAGTTCACTCTTTGATGCGAAAATGTGTAGCGCAAATATTAGCGCTTTGTTTTGCACAAAAGCGTGAACGGTGTTAAATAATATTGTCCGTCCGAAATGTTAAATGTCAAATGGCAACAGCTTTTTACGAAAATTAATTGAAAATGCACAATGCCGCAACAAAGTGAACAAAGTTAGATTTTATTTTATTGTTATTGTTGTAAAAAAACTGTCGAATATTTCGCATTTTCGCACTTTCGCTAAAACGCACACAGTTTTGCCTTAAAGAGTAAACTCCAGTATTACAAAACATTTAAACGGTTAAAAATGAATGAAAAAAATAAAAATCACAAAATTCCTGCTAAGAAAAAATAAAAATCAAAAAATTACGATCCAAAAATAAAAATCTTTATATTGAACGGTTATTTTCAGTCCTTGCTTAAGTTAATATAAATGTTATACTTTAACAAAGAGCTCTTGCAAATATCTTCATTTTTTTAATAGTTTTTTTCCCCTTTGTAGTTTTTTTTATTTTTATTTATATACCAACGACACTTTTGCGAACAAAGGATCCAACTCCAAAAGAATATTCCTTCCTGTTGAATTTTCTTATATTGAAACTCACGCAACAATGAGTATTTGCTATGTATGCGCATATGTATGCGTATTTACGTACATATCTTTGTTTGCATACGCTAAAGAGCCAAATCGGACAGTGCGTTGTATGTACGCGTACGTGCTTTGTAAAGAAATTATGAATTTCGAGCTGATGATCACCACCAACACACCATATTGCCAATGCCAAAAACACAAATCACTGTCAAGTGCGATTGTTTTCACCTGGTATAACCAAAAGTGCCAGCGCAAAAATTCATAAACGCATTTTTCTGTCATTACGCATTTAGCGAAAATTCCCAATTAGGTAGAAGTTAAACTTTTTCGAGCGTTTAAGAACACCTTTTCGATAACTTCCATATATTTGATTTCTGTTGCAGCAATTCTTTATCACTTTGTTTTCGACCAAAAGTGTAAATTAATAAAAATAGTTAATTAGTAAACACCAAAGAAGCACAAACAATATAGTGATCTCATACATATAACAAAAGTGTGATCATTTGGCGCTGTGGAAAGATTCACGTTTTGTGTATGCGATAATTAGTCGCCCCCATAATACATAAAACTTGGTTGTCACCCTAAATGCGCGCGCGTTGGAAATGCCTAGGCAATAAAGGTGTTCTCTCTGTACTTTATTAATGTTATCTATACGCCATTGTATGAATGTAAACATGTCAAAAATGAAATGTTGTAAATGCGCGTAATTTGATGTTAGTCATTACCTCATATATAGAATTTAGTATACATACTCGTTGTAGCAGCGATTCTTTTGGGGCAGGTGCTTTACTATGCCGACTAATTCCGCAGCTGGCATGGCAAAAGTCGAGGCCGTTATTGATAAGACTTTGTTTCGTCTTGGTTGTGCTGCAGATCGACTGCCTACATAACTGGCCTGGCTACCTAGCAGGCTCAAGCATTTATCGTCTTACTTATATTGTGATAAAATACCAATGACATAAGCGGAAGCTAGTAAGTAAAATGCGTTGAAACATTTTTTACATGCTCATATCGTTGATGTCATGACAAAATACATTAAATGAAAAAACCAAATTTTGCAAAAAAGTAAAAAATTATATCAAAATCTAAACAAAAAATTAAAAAAGACGTGAGTAATTATGAAGTTACTAGCTATTGGCTGCACCGTACTCTGTTATACCGACTTAATTCAAAATTTAAATTTTGTTGGAAAACGCCATCAAAGTTTGATCAATTCGTACAGTTAGTATACCAAAAGACAGATGGAAAGACACATATCTTTGCCATTTTTGGGAAGCTTAGTCATCTGTTAGGCTAAACATATTCTTCTCATCACTTATTAACTGTATTATCAAATCTCTAAAAACGTAAATTTTGGCATACATCTCTATATTATTAAACGTGCGATATGCATTTAATTCAACTTGTTGAGTTTGAGTTTGAATTTGCTAACAGGTGGCAACCGCCTTCAAATATTTTCGAAATAAAGCTTTCTTAAAACCCACGTTTGATTCCCATATTGAAATACTTTTTTTACCTGTTAATTAAAATGGTTTTGAATTTATAAACAGCTGGCAACCCTCTTAAAAATATTTTCGAAGTAGAGCATGCTTAAATTATTCTCGTTTGACACCCGTATACAAATATATCATTAAAGTTTTTAATTAAATTGATTTTGAATTTCTAAACAGGTGACAATAATACCCTTTAAAAATATTTTCGATCGTTTCCCTTGATACCCAAAATCAAATATTTCATTAGCTTGTTAATTAACTTTGTTTTTGAATTTCCTATTCGAGATAAAGCTTACTTCAACCTCTCTTCTGTAATACCCTTATAGAAATTGTATTTAATTTACTTTTTTACCTTGTTCATTTCTGAACAGGTGGCAATCCCCTGCAAAAATAAATTTGAAATAACGCTTTCTTAAACCTCTTATTTCAATTTTTTTAACAAGTGGCAACCGTCTTCAAAAGTATTTTCAAAATAAATCGATTTTAAACCTCGTTCGTTTGACATCCACAGTGTTGTAATATTTATTTTACTTATTTGTTGATTGATTTTAACCATGATACAAAAAAGAAGGTAGTTTCATTGTCACTTTTCGTACGCCATATTAACTACCTGACAATTAAGCAGATTGTGACATTTCGTGCTGCCATACCTTGTCATCAATAATCATTTATTTATTTTTAAAAAATTATTTACAAAAATAAAAGGAAATTTGTCTTCGATCTGAGCAACAACGAAAATGGAAATTCGTACGTCGCCATATTTGAAAAAAAAAACCAACCAACTTTTTCTTTGATACAAAATACCGCTAAATATGTTGTCCACCGCAAAAATTAGTTATTATTAAATTCGTTTATTCTAAAGCCAATCACCGAAAATGATTTGGATGTGCTTTGCAAACGTTAGCCCCAGTAAGGCTTTAATTTCGGTGCTTCATAGTATGAAAGATAATATGGTTATGGACGATAGGAGGTACTCCCGATTGAACTGGCACCCACAGTTTGGAAGTAAGTAGTTAGAGGGTAGCCCAATGCTTTAAGTGTAGCTTGTCTGTCACCGCAGACATGTAAACTCATTCCCCTCCACCTCGCCCCACTCAGTGTTATACTGGCCTTTAAGGCTTCCCTACGTTGTGAAGAAACAAAGTGACAGTAAGTGCAGCAGTGCATCCAGAGCAGCGCCACGTGTTGTAGAAAAAAAGCTTCCGTACAGCACACTTTGAAGTTTTGCAAGCAGACTTCCCACGCTCTTGATTGAGAATCTGCTCCACCATAACTGTTTACATTGCCAAAATGCTGCCAATTCTTTAGAGGTTTTGTGTTCCACGTTAGATTTCCTCGATAGTTTTGTATACAGAATTACTTCTAGATACTTCACTTCGGGAGAATTCAGAATTTTGGCTCCTTTTAATAACGGACTATTAAAAAAAAGAGGTTTGATATGTAAGTATATTTATTTTGTTTAAAATAAAATGAAAAACAGTTTTTTAATAAATAAATGTTTCAAAACTGGATTTTATTTTATTTCTTTATCTCTGCACATCGATATTATTCAAAGCATCTTTTAAACGCTTGAGAAAAACGTTGAAATTTGATTATCGAACACATCAACTTGCAATTTTTTTATGCAAATTTTACTCTTTTATTAGACTCCGAATATTTAAAGAAAATCTCCCCTCTCAAAAAATTTCAATGTGGCAAAGCTATGCTTAATGTTTACATCTGGAGAAATGTCAAAAATCTGCTTTATAATCAAAAAATAGTAGTAATGAAACTACCTTCTTTTTTGTATCATGATTTTAACCAAAGCTGGTGTTACTTTGCTCCCCAATGCAATTTAAATTAACGAAGAAGTGCATTCGTTATCGAATGCCGTGATCTCAAAATCAAACATCGATTCGAGTTGCGTTCAAAATCGAATGGTGCGATTCGGGTCCTGAGCTTTAGGAATATTGGTTTAATGGTACGAAGCCAAGAGGAGTCATAAAGCGCAAAGCAAAGCAAATAGCACACTAGCCTTCATCGTACCAACTTCTTTATGGAATCTACATCATTTTTCCTCACCACACCTTTTCGCCTTGTCTTAAAACAAAAAAAAAAAAAATACCCTCATCTCACGAACGGCGGCCATTAGTGATTTCTATCTCACACCGGAGAGCTTTTCGAGGTTAGACTTTTGCTTCCACTCAAGTTCATGGCGATGAACGCAACTTTTGCCCTCAGTAAAAAATCCAGTCTATAAATACTGATCTCATACTAAACGAGATGATAGTTTTTCCGAGTCTTGAGAAATCCTAATTAAAATAACTTTTAAACAATTTTGTTAATTATCTTAATTATATTTTTGCAGAAAGTCGATCCTGAGCTTATTTTCACGAAGCAAGAAAGAATCGGGAAAGGTTCCTTCGGCGAAGTATTCAAAGGCATCGACAATCGATCGCAGCAGGTTTGTACGCAGCATTTTCATTCAACTTTACTTTTAACTTAACAAATTTTCAACGATTTTTTAGGTCGTGGCTATAAAAATAATTGATTTAGAAGAAGCGGAAGATGAGATCGAAGATATACAACAGGAAATTATGGTACTGTCACAATGTGACTCGCCATTCGTTACAAAATACTACGGATCGTATCTAAAGGTAAGTGAATGTGAGCGAAATTCGAACAAGATTTCGAAAAAAAAACAGAAAAAAAATCCTTTGTGAAATTGTAAAGTGAATTGAAATACTCGAAAACATGAAATTTGAATACTAACTGGTATTTATGTAGGTACCTGTACGGGTTTCTCCGGAAGAGTAGATAGGTGATTGAAATAAGATCTGATTATCGGGGTTAATCTCAAACAAGTTAGCGGCAAATATGGTATCGCTATGGCAACCCACGTCGGCAACTACTTATTTCCGAATAGCTCCACTGGAGTCGCTTTTTGGTATCTAATGGCTACAAACTGGCATTGTAATACTCAGAAAAGAACGCATTTTTCGTCTCGATTTTCTTCCAATCATCTAAAGATCTTCTGAAGAACATTGCCTGGTGTTTAAGGATGTGCTGAACCAAGTATCGAAAGAATATGTACTTAGTTCATTTATCAATGCCCACCACAAATCACTGTGCGGAACTTTAAAACTGGCGTTTACAAGATCGATATAACAATTTTGGTGTTAAAAACAACGCGTGAATTTCAAACTCTACTACTCCACAATTCATTTCATGATCAACCAATATTGAGCAGCCTTGAAAATGCTAAAGACAACCATCCCTAACGTAAAAATAAGGACATAATATTGTACTTTTCCAAAAAATAATAATAATAGATTGGCGCTTACACAAATGTTAGAGTTTGGCCGAGCTTCTTCTCCGATTTGAGGCCTACAGTTTTACGCCGACTCCGACCGGCGATTGCATTTTTGATGCTGTTTTTCAAGACAGAAATACACTAGGAGGGTTTGCCATTGCCTGCCGAGGGGCGACCACTGTTTAAAAAAAAACAACTTTTTTCTAAATTTTTTTTTTGCAATGTTGCTTTGACCAGGGCTTGAACCCAGGCATTGCGGAGCGGAAGCGCGCACTGCTAACCACTACACCACAGCAGCCACCTAATTTTGCAAGCGAATCATAAAATTAGTTGAATTAAACAGCTTCCACTAAATTATTTTGCTTATTTATGAGCTGCAACCTGTTGAAAAGAACCCAATATCTCCCTTCGCCGAAATATTTCAGTAGGAGGCATAACAAAAGATCAAATCTTATTATTTGCTTGAAAATAGGGGAAATCAGCCTTCTTTATATTTATTCAAATCAATGTACTATCTGTGTTATAATATTGATTAATTAAGTCTTTAAAAAAACATTGAATCTTCATTTTCCTTCACCAGGGAACAAAGCTATGGATAATAATGGAATATTTAGGTGGCGGTTCGGCGCTGGATCTTATGAAAGCTGGTTCTTTCGAGGAAATGCACATAGCAATTATATTGCGTGAAGTATTGAAGGGTCTGGACTATCTACATTCGGAGCGTAAACTGCATCGAGACATCAAAGCGGCCAATGTATTACTAAGCGAAATGGGTGATGTGAAGTTAGCAGATTTCGGTGTGGCCGGACAGTTAACAAATACAACGTCGAAGCGTAATACATTCGTAGGTACGCCATTTTGGATGGCACCCGAAGTGATAAAACAGTCCATGTACGATTCAAAAGCGGACATTTGGTCGCTGGGCATCACAGCCATTGAGTTGGCAAAGGGTGAACCACCCAATTCGGAGCTGCATCCAATGAGGGTATTGTTTTTGATACCGAAAAATAATCCTCCGCAATTAACAGGAAATTATACGAAATCTTTTAAAGATTTTGTGGAAGCGTGCCTTAATAAGGATCCTGAAAATGTGAGTTAAATGAATGTTATATTGATGTGCTTCGTATAGACGTGATAAACAAAAAAATCACAAAAATATAAAATATTTTTCAAATGCATTTTGAAGGTTTAGTAAAAGTTTTGAGATTTCCGAGCTTAACGCATTGCTTTTCACTTTAAAGAAGTAGCCATATAGATTTTTGAAAATCATTCAAATTAATGTATTTTCTTCGGTTTTTATAGAGACCGACAGCCAAGGAACTATTAAAATATCCTTTTATCAAGAAAGCCAAGAAGAACTCGTACCTTATCGACTTAATCGATCGCTACAAAAAATGGAAACTCCAGAAGGGCGACGAAAGTGAAACGGAATCAGAAAATTCAGATTCGTAAATATGATTAATGTCCACTTACAGCTTGCAGATTAGTGAATGTAATTTATTTTCGCAGTGATGAATCGAAGCCTGGTGGCAATAATGACGAACCTTGGATTATGACCGTTAAAGGACTCAGTATCAATAATGCAGCACGCGCGGAATCGGTTGCTAACAGCAGCAGCTTTAAAGATATGGAACACCTAAAAATGCCACAGAAATTATCACAAAGCAGTGGAGCAACGCCGATTGCAATTAATGCAATCAACAAACACTATCCGGGTAGCGGTGCAACTACGGTGGCGTCATCACCCTCATCCACATCGCTACAGCAACAGCATCAGCAACTGCACGATAATATGGCGGGTAGTCCGCCAGGTATGCCATCTGCTCTATCAGCTACAACATCTTCGTCCGCAGCTTCGCCACGTGATAGTAACTTAAATCATTACAAACACACAGCGGCAGCGGCTGGTATTATACGCTCGTCCAGCTCTAATATAGCGCATCAACCGCTTAGTCCAACACAGAAGCAAACATCTGGCAGCCAAGAACTACTCTCATCCTCGAGTGGTAACAATTCGCCAAATGCTGCGGAAGGTATGAAGAAGATCAGCAATAGCAGCAGCAGCAATGCGGTCTTCCAGGAGTCGTCGAAATCGAACCTAAGGCAGAGCCGTTCCGCCTCGCTCGACGAAGAGCACGATCAGCGGCGTTCATCGGTAGGTGCAAAATTGTGCAAATCGTTGTAACACTTAATATATATATACAACGAATTATTTCTTCTAGCTCATTGAGCATGCCAAAAGCGAAGACCAACTGCGAGAGGAAGATGCGCGCGCGCAGCGGCGTAGTATGCATGCGTCCGGCGCGTCATCTAACTCAACGCCAATGCTTAGCTCGAGTAGTGGCAATTACAATGGCAATGCAGCGTTGTCGAATAGCACGCATGGCGAGCGCTCCTCGTATGGTGTTACTTTAGAGCAGTCCGGAGCGTCTGCCTCGGCTACATCGGTGGCGTCCAGTAATTCCAATCATAAAATGGGCGGCGGCGGCAACCGTGTGATGCAAACGAATAGCGCATGTCTGAACAATTTCCTCTTTCCAGTTCTGACGGATGTAAGTGCGCAGCGGAGCACGCTTGAGTGATTTTATTTATTTATATTTTTTATTTTATATCTGTAAATGGAATTTTGCAGATTCAACGAAAGTATGCCAATTCAAGCAAAAATTCAAACGTAACGGACATTGGCGACTTGAAGTCAGTACTTGAATTAGCTGAGCGTAGCAGTCCAGGCGTCAGTGATTTGTTCCTCAAAGAAATAATTCACAAATTAGTTCCAGGCTATTCAGAGACGCGTATCAACAACATTATGGACAGGGCTATCAGGTGTGTATAATGAATTGGAAATGTCTTGGAACACACAACTAATAAAATATTTTTAATTGCAGAAATAAGAAGTAAAAACGAACACAATGGTACATGGACTGATTTTAAACAAAGCAGCAACATTGAAATATCAACAGTTATGATATTTAAATAATATAAACACATACTATCAACCAGATTGGAGATTGGCACATGTGCATATAGGTACATACATAGCAGATATTTAAGATATTGCGACAAGTGCGCAATTAATCAATAACTCTTGATAAGTAACTCCATACCTACATAAATAATTTAAATTATATTTAAAAGAAATTAAAAAACAAACACAACCAGCAGTGTACCAGCAATATTGTTTGTTATGATAGTGTAATATTTATTGGATTCCAAATAAATCGTTGTCACGCTGAATGTGCCGCGACGAGCTGTTAGATTCTCGTTTGAAGATTAATTAATTGTAGATAATTTGATGAAATCAACTATTACATACGTTGGTACGTACATAAATTAGTGTGAAAAAAAAAAACAAAATACATATTAAAATTAAATTCTTGCAAACAACAAACAAATAAACGACTTATTCGTGTATAATTTAGCTAAAGCAAATCTAAGCGCCGACCTATTTGCCTTTAAAATGAAGCAGAAGGAGCACATGCGGCGCGCCGTGGAAGTACGATTGTTTGAATCTTTCCACATACCTTTCAAATTTCAGTTTATTATTAATATGTAGTTAAAAATTAAATTTATCGAAAAATTTACGCGCAAGCGTATTTAGTGTGTATTTTTGTTTTGTTTTTGTATTTGATTCGCACTTAATTTTAGTTTTAATTGTAAAAGATAAAACAGGTTAAAGTAAAAGTATATGAAAAAGAATGGCGAAAATAAGTAATAAATAAAAGCAGTTTATGCAAATATGTTAAACTATATGGTAATAAAAAAAAAAAATGGAAACTAACAAGAATGCATACATACCTACATACAATATTAATACTAAAATATAGATAAAATAAAACAAATAATGTTTAGCAATAACACCTACAAACACACAAACACACACACACACACATACATACACAACGATCCGGAATTCAGAACAAAACAGAAGTAAACAATATAGGAAACTAAACAGTAAACAACAGCAAGTGAAACTCTAATGAAGTAATACAAATAAATTATCGGACAATATTATAAAGACTATGAATTTTGTATTTCTCATATTTCATTTTAGTTTTAACCTGGGGGGCTACTCTGTAATGCGATGCGAAAGAGAAATGCGATGCGATAGACAAATACAACGTAAGTAATACGCTGTGGCGATAGCCTGTCGCATCGCATTTCGCTTTCGCATCGCATTACAGAGTAGCTCCCCTGGTAACGGACCATATCCAAAATTAGCGGATTAGCGTCAGAAATAGATGGCAGAAAGTAAAGAAAAAATGTTGTATCAGTTTTCAAGGCATCCTCACCATACCAAGTAAGTGTTTATAACGAGGTAATTTTAGATTGGAAGTGTTCGTCGATCCAAAAAGTGTTGGATCGCCGCAACAATAGCGCTTGAGTCATTCCGGTACGCGGAATCGGCTGTCGCCGTGGGAAGATCATATTGCATTCTGCGCTGGGTAAAGCCCAGCGTCGCGTGTACATGGGTTGCTCAAACTACTAAAAAAATTTCATCTCTTATTTTCAAAGTCCCGATGGCCATGCGGAAGGTAAAAGCCAATTCCCCCGACAGAAAATTCTGTGAAAATGGGGTTCGGCACCATCATGATTTCTGTCAACAAAAGTCTTATCAGTCAGTCTTATCAACTGATAAATCGAATTTCCTTAGCAATGAATGCAGTTGAGGCCTTGTTACACCCGTGCTACACATGCTGCCTTACTCCAGCCGATCATCAGCATGGTCCAGGTCATTGCCACACCATAAGCACTCAGTCATATCATTTGTGACCTTAACCACAACAGCGCCTGCGAGACATCTGCCTTAGTAACGTTGGATTTGTTGAAAACTTGTGACACTCCATCGTGGCATTCTTTCGTCCTCAGTAACTTAAAATATGGCCGGCTATCGTCTGCATGGTCGACAATCGACAGTTATTTTCCCCGAGATCAAATATTGATCCACAAAAGATATAAATGAGGGGTCTCGTAGGGTAATGACTACTCCCTACTGTTGATTAATCTCGCGAGCAACACTTGGGCAAAAACAAAGATGCGTGTTTGGTAGTGTACAAGGTAGATGTCCAAGCCGCACCTGAACACCATTTTGCAAAGTGATATGTAAATACTACTGCCATTAAGAGAATAGGCATTTGCTTGAAGCAGAAGCTGCCAGATACGCCAGGAGCCATATCTACGAACGTACGAATGAGAGCTAGGACTTCATCAAACAACCAGTGGAGCCGAAGTTGTACAGAATGGCCATCAGCAATCAATATTCATCTTGAGAAGATCAGTGTGAAAGCTGTTATTGTAGTGATAGTCCTTGGCCAAAATACAATCCAGTGCAATCAACTTACATCGCTTTTGCTTTGCTCGCTCTTCTGGAAACAGCACCTTTCCTTGGCTTCACGTTCGATGTTCTTGAGGACAGCGATTTAAAGATTACCTCATCTAGGCAGAGCTAAATATCCGTGACAAAAACGCAACAACAATTACCTACAAACATAGGTATGTATTTCGGTTTTAGTCTGGGTTAAACATTTTAATTTCCGAGTTGGTTAAAAAGAATAAGTAAGTATCCAAAGTTTGATACGACTTGGACTTGATAACCCCTACATCAGTGTTGTCTAGTGAGAACTTTTACTCTGTGCCCATCTATATTGGTGGTGAGCACCAGCTTGCCCGCTGGCAAAGCTCTTTCAAGCTTTGTATAAATTTAGTATTGAACGCATGAAAGAGCTTTGCCCGCAGGCAAGCCCACCACCGATACAAACCAAAGAAGCTCAAAATAGCGCTAGCGGGACGCGTACAAAGTGAAAAGCTCTCTCTGAGCGTCGCTGATATATGTAAACCAGTGATGAGCTTTAATCCATTTTGTGCCGGTCTCGAAAGAATGAAAAGCTTTTAAAAGCATGCTACCGGTGCCTATAAATCAGTTACGACTAGAACGTTTGTATGTACATACCATGTTGGAGAAGCTTTTTAATTTAAAGCTATCTATAGACTTCTTTATGAACGAACCCAAATGAACGCGCCACACTAGTCTTCCACCATTATCTCGCTCGCGATCTTTACAGAGCACATTGTATGCAGCGCAACATCGTTGGATCGCAACTATTAAGGTGCCGTGCCGACCCATTAATGGCTCAACCAGCACCGACGGAGCGGCCTTCCGAAATTGCCGTCCGTATCAACATTTCAAACTTGCTGTTGATAGAGAGGGAGACGAGCAACGGATAATGTCACCGTCATGCGGTGGTGAGTTTTCGTTAACACGAGAGTCACATAAAATAGGTCGTGTCAGCTGACACGGTCTACGATTTTACGTCGGCTAACACAATTTCTTCGATCTTGCTGTAGGGTAAGAGAAGTGTGGGGTCTACCATGGGCCTGTTGTGGCCGCCGTAGTTGCTGTTGCTGCCTAGTGGTGTGTGGCTGCAGTTGCGCTTGTGCCTGAGAGGGCACCGTAGCCGCAGAGGGCGCGGTAGCTTGTTGTCCACCCGCATGTGGTGCGCAGGCCAGAGCATAGGCGGAAGTGGCACCAGCCACGGCATGAGTTGTATTTCACTGATGCCACATTCCGGTATACTCTGGACCCGAATCGTCACATACGATATCGTATTACTCGTCACGCAAAAACACATTTTCGGAGCTTATACGACTGACGTATCACATAATTTCTTTCCTATGGTTTTCGATCTGTGAACGGCTTTTACGATTCGAGCCCTGTTCTGGCACACGGAGCATATTGTGTGGGTAACCAAGAGCTGCTGGTTGGCTCTAACACGCGAGTTAGAGCGGGTGGTAGAACAGTGTGGGGAGGTTAGCTGTTGCTCGCGGGAGCTTCTTGGAGTTTCTGCAATTTGGGTGCTGGTTCGCACCTGCGCGTTGTGTGAGCTGGTAGCTGTGGAGACGGGTGCTGCCGTTTGGCTTGAGCAACAGGCAATCACAAAGCTTGTGGTCCACTCTCTGTGAGGCCTAAGGCCTCAGCGGGTTCTTAGGTTACTTCATCCGTTGTAGGAGTTCCACTTAACCGAAGTGCAGTTCGGATGGAGTCGTCTCTGGCAAAGTAGTTCGTTCGCTTCATCCCATCCGGACGTGTAGCGGTAGTACGCCGAAATTTCCCGGCAGAAGCGGCTTGGGACTCTCGTTTAAAGGACTTTAATATGGCACCTGGTCACTCGACGTTTGGCCTTATCTATCGATGGACGCAATGTGAATTGCCGGCTAAAACAGCTTCGGTTCCGATAAGACGCGAGGACAGAGTGGCGAGGAGTCGAAGCTGTTTTAGCCCGCATCCTTCGGTAGATAAGGCCAAACGTTGAGTAAACCGGAGCTCCCATAAAATCGGCCAAAAACAGTGCACGACTTTTATATATATTTGCATTAAATTTTCATTGTGAAAACCACTCTAAAAGTAGGCTAGGTATAACCGCTTCAATACTAACCACCAATTCAGCTTATTCAGCCCAATTCTTAATACTCCCAGGGAGTTTGTTCCCCCGGAATTTGTTTCTCCCGATAAAGAAATCCTCACATAATTAACTTCCAGGGAGTAGCATTTTCCGCGAAAATTTGGGAGGAACTTCGCAAGAGCTGTTTGACTGTTTTGACTGCTCAACTTCGCCATTTAATAGAAAAAATTCTCTGGGAATTTTTATTCATGATAGAAGGAAAGGAAAAAAAGGGAAAACTCGCAAGGAGTTTCTGTTCAGAATCGGCGTGATTGTGTCCAATGTAGTGCTGGGACTATCCGTGTAATCGGATGTCCGTTCAGATACTCGTGCACGGATTAAATTCGGATATCCGGTTAATATCCGTTATATTTTGTTATCCGGTTAATGTCCAGAAATCCGGTTTATATACGTTCATTTTCCTATCCGGATATTCGGATATCCGTTCATTTTATTAACCGGATAGCCGGTTAATATCCGTTCATTTTACTATCCGAAATCAGCTTAATATATGTTCATCTTGTTATCCGGATAACCGGTTAATATCCGTTCATTTTGCTATCCGGATATCTGACTAGTGTCCGTTTATTTTGTTATCCCGATAGCCGGTTAATATCCGTTCATTTTGTTATCCGGATATTCGAATTTTCGCTTAATATCCATTCTTTTTATTATCCGGCTAGCCGGTTACTATTCGGATTTTTTTAAACACATATTCGAGTATCTGGATATTCATAAAATCCGGATAGAACTCCCAACCTCTCTATTCTATCTATTCTATTCCCTTAACTAAACAGACTATGAGGAGTGAGTCGCTTTCCACGTTGCAGCAAATTTA